GTTTTATTCTGACATTTAAACTGAATCTTTCATTAAGCCCATTATTTTTCGTCACATTCGTTGCGGACTTGGAAAATGGATCCCTTTTGCCTTGCCACAAGTTTTTGTTGTTTGGAAACCGATGAGGTGGACCTTCAAGTTGAAGGTCTAGTGCCTTGTTATCATAAATGCCTACCTCTTAACGACACTGCGAGCCCAAACCATTGCTGGCAACGCAGAAGTAACTCTGAAACTTCGTACCAACCAGTTTTGAGACACACGGTACCTGGGGGTTGGGCTGTCTGACCCCTGTAAGCATTTCCACCTCACTGTTCCGTTAGCAGAAGGCTTTGTATTTTTCACTCATTACCCTATGTTGTTCTTTTTAATACTGTCTCTTCCACCACCAACTGCAGAGTATCCTGAATGTTACTTAGGGAGTGATGCCATCCACCTGGTAAAGAATGAAGTAGGTGAAGAATGATAGGGAGAAGGCAAACACGTTGTTCTCAGAGGTCTGAAAAACTTGTTCCCTAAACAAACCTTTCTTTCTATTGCAGACTGTTTTACAGATACCGAGATCTGGCCCCACAGCTAGTTCCACTCGACTACACAGACAAACCAGACGTGACACTTCCCTATGAGCTCATTGGCAGCATGCCAGAGCTGAAGGTACAGAGCAAGGAACACAACGAGAATCGAGTGACACGTTTCAGCTTTATCTACCCTTTTTTTTTTAATAATTCATCCAGTACTAATTGCTGAGAGGCTGAAATACAAATCAATTTTGGCTACTGAAGTCAAAAAATCTTTCTGGAAGCTTCTAGTGATTCCCTGAAAACCCCCTTGAAGTTGCACAGAGGTTGAAGGAGGCTGCAGCTGTGCCTACCTCTGATACAACAGAACATAGCAGAAAGGGGAGTATTTGCCAAAAAGGGGTTACAACAAAACGAATCTTGCTCTGTGTCTTCTCTGCACTGAAATAAGCTCTGGTAAAGATCCCCTTCCCTTGCTCCTCTGCTCTGTTTCCCAGGACAATCCATTCCGCCAGCGGATAGCAGAGGTTTTCTCAGAGGATGGAGATGGCAACATGACTTTGGATGATTTTTTGGACATGTTTTCAGTGCTGAGTGAAATGGCTCCCAGAGACCTGAAAGCTTATTATGCTTTTAAAATCTACGGTGAGTGAGACATGCATAAAAGGTAAACTTTGGGGAAATCCTGCAGCTTTGTGTCGGGATGCAAAATATCATTTTGTCACCATAATGATTTCTAGTTAGGTATGTTTTCAATACAGCCTTTCTTTTAATTTCATTTGAATGCCTGTTCTCTCTCCTAGAAACTTCTGGTCTTCTTTATCCTTTTGTCTCTTCTCTTATTTATTTGGGATTAGGATTTACTACAAAATTTACAACCTGAAATTATCTGCAGTTTTCAAGAGCTGATAAACTTTTAAGAAATACTTCTGTCTGAGGGGCTGCTTGGAAAAGTGCAGCACAAGGGATTTGGCTGCCCATAAATCTGTGGGGTGGTTTCAGCAGGGGGAGGCAGGGGAGCACACGTCTAGCGTTTTTCTCCAAGGACAAATTTAAAGATTTTTTTTTTTTTCAGTACCATTTTCAGTTACTTTATAATCAGCTAAAGCCAAACAATATCTCAAAAACCCAAACCCACTCTATTTTCCCCCCAATTTCAACTGTACATGATTCAGCAAAGATGTTAAAAAAGTGACACCCCCCCCCCCAACTGCCCGTTCTCTTCAACTTCAGACCGTTTCTTGCATTCAGGCCAGTGGGGCTGATTTGCTGGAACGACCCAATTGTGGCTAGGCTATGGTCAGCCATTCACCTATCTACAGTTATTACCCTTATACTTGACATGGAGAAATTATTCCAGGATTTTTATTTTGTTACTGAATTTTTACACTCGCAAATGCAGACAACTTCATTTCCCATTTAAAAGTTCCACTTACATAAATACATTACGGCCTGGGAACTGAACCCTTCCTATCAGGTCTTGGCAGCCGACCATGTGAAACGCTGACTTTTGTCACTTTGAATTCATTTTGTTTCCTTTGACAGATTTTAACAATGATGATTACATATGCAAATCAGATCTAGAGAAAACCGTTAACAAATTAACCCGAAATGAACTTACCCCAGAAGAAGTCAGCCTTGTATGCGAAAAGGTGATTTACGAGGCCGATGCGGACAACGACGGCAAGCTGTCTTTGGAGGACTTTCAGCATATGATAGTACGAGCTCCAGACTTCCTCAGGTAACATTTGCTTTTAATTTCTAACACAAAATTGCTCTTAGTTTTTTTGTCAGGAGTCTCTGAAGTGCATTTTACATCTCCTCAGCCATTACAGATCACCACTTCCCTGACAGTTTCTAGCAGAGCTGCCCACCACAAAGATGGGGAAAACAGACGCTTGAAAAGGCGTGGAGGTTTCTTGATGTTTTTGAACCTCCCATGTACTTTTTACATGACAAAAAGTCCTCGTAACTGCAAAAGTTACTATTAGCACTTTGGCTCCATGGAGCTAAGAGCTCACTCGATGCGTGACAGAGTCTTAATGTGGTTCTCGATGCACTAAGCAGCCCTCAAAGCTTGTGTTTATTTAATGCCCCTATTTTTTACAAGCACTTTGCAAAATAGTTTCCCTTTATTTACTGTACAGTCCTTGGATTAACTGTAGCGAAGCCTTTGAACAGAGAAGAGTGATATGCAAGTGATCGTTACTTCCTCTTTTTATAGCACATTTCACATTCGAATCTGAATCTAGTGAAACATGCAGCTGGAAGCACTTCTTGAACCTTCAACAACTCTTACTTCACCTGAGATTACTGTCCATGAGAGCGCAAAATGAGAGAAGCAAAGAGGACAATTTCTGGTAACTGAACCAGTCAGAGAACTCTGTCTCTTGTTTACCTCTTTAAAAGGAACACTTCATTAAGCTCTTCATCAGCATTCCCCTGTAATTTAACAAAATGTCTATTTCCCCCCCAGCTAGACAAAGTCTGGCCTGGACAGTGAGATGGGAACTACTTTCTTAAAGTTCAGATACCACCAGGCAGTAAAGGAACTTGTATCTAACTATAGCTTCTAAAAAAATTCCCCAGAAAATGCCTTAACCAGTAAAACCCCCTTGAAAATAGTTTCAAAAAGCTCGTTGCAGGTCCTGAGTTGAATACAGAAAAGAGCTCTCAATTTCCGAACTTATAATGAAAAGTCAACATACTTTAAAGGACAAAAGAGCCCACGCCAGGTTCCTGTCCCTCTTTTCTGTTTTCAGAAATACCCTATTTTCCACACAAGAATCTATACGGACAAATGACGAACAGGACTGACAAACTAAGTTTGTAAAATTCTCTTTTCGTAAGAAGTTTATTTATGCAGTGCTCAGGGTCCTGTACAACAGAGTAAAAACATACATACTGTAATAAACAACAGTTTTGGTTTTAGTACAAACATGAAAATCAATGAGAAGTGTTTAAGAAAGCAGTTGTAATGTGGGAAGGGTGGCAGCCAAAATGTGGTCATTCTAAAAAACACAATTTACAGTTATTTTTAAAAATCCTGGGATGCATTAAGTTCCCTTCAAAACAAAGTCGTAAGTCCCAACTCACACTCAACGTAGAGCACACAGTTCCTGTGGAAAGGCTTACAGAGACCAGCCCGCTCTACTTGGGTTACTTACAGAAACAAAACCTCCAAGGGTCAGTGAAAGAGATGGGTCAAGGAGTAGGGCAGCCTGAAATAACCAGACCGCACGTTCGCGTTAACGTTCGACTGAACAGGGCTTTATTTAATCGAGAAATGAAGACCGAAGTCGGTCATCCTTCCTTCCCAACCCCTACGAGCTTCTAGTACGAATGGAGACCATCCTTTACGCAGCTGTTTGTCCATTTCCTCTCCAGCATGAACACCAGCCACTTCAAGTCCGAGAGCACGAGAAATCGCGGTAGCTGTTGAGCATGATCATCAGCCAAAGACACCGCCCCCACCACAATAAACCCCTTAACTACTGTCAGCGAGATCATTGGCATCTCACGTGAAAGGAGAGCCCAAATAATTTTCAGCAGCAGTAAAGGGACTCACAATAATCCATAGGATTTATAAATCTGAGGCTGAAAGTCTGATGCTGGCGTAAGGCTCTGACGTCAAGGAATATTAGATGCGCCACAGGACCAGGACAACGCAAGTGTAAGCGTTAAACCAGCTGTTCCACCATTTACTGACAGACGAGCTACTGACAGGGCTACACCCAAAAGGCTGCAGACTATCTGAAATATTGCAACCAGCCTCAAAACCAGGGTCAACCACAGAATTCTATGATACTCATTAAAGTAAGGGAGCTTGAGAACATGCTCAAAAATGGGTTTGTTTCTCTACAAGCCAAGCGTTAATCGATTACCTGAAATTTTAGTGGCATTTAGACACTGAGAATGTGTAGTAAGCCCATAGTTAGTTTTTCAGATCTACTTCGATCCCCCAGTTTTACAAGTTTTGTATCCCATTTCAGATTTTTTCCTCCTTAGTTAAGGAAAACTTAGATATAAATACATTACTGTACGTATTTAGGCAGTACCTCTTTCGATCATTGCGTTTTCCGTAACATTCATACTTAAAAAACCACAGTCACTTAATTACACGATGGAAACACCAACTCCATATTGTACTTCTCCAAGATTTGATGTCCGTATTCAGCGACACGTCGCCAAGTGTACATGCAACTGCAGCGTCTTTAACCTTCCCCTGTCTTACATTCACATTTTAGGTTACATATTGCTTACACCGATCTAACCCCTGTGCAGTCCGTATGCCCCAGCAGTGCAGCGGTGGCTGCAGTCACAGTAACTGTACGAAACTTCCTGAGATCGGGCAATAACGTGGCTGTTCGTTGAGTAAAACCAATCATTTCACAAAAGGAAATCACGCTATAAATTAGGTACACGTGCAACCAGCAGCGTTGTTTCAACGTGTGGTATCTACCTAGAAAGAGTTAGCTTTGAATGAGAAAGAGTAACTTCAGATTAGAAAACGAGGAGTGAAAACCACAATTCCATCCTTCAAGTTTTATCCACTTGTCTGTTAGTACGGTTTGCTTTCTCATCTCGGGATGAGTTATCGATCCAGACACTGTCAACAGACACTGCCCAGTATCACGGTGGGCACAGGTTAGACTAACCCCTTATTTTTCCAGTCACCTTGAAAAGTAAGCCTGGCTGCAACATCTGGCCATATTACAGTACAAGGATGGATGTGAGACAACCCACACTTACTACTAAGCCAGAAACAAATCATTAAACAGATCAGTTTGGGGCAGGAAAATGACATTCAGACCATGCCTTGATCACCTCCCCCAAGTCTTGCTTTCAAAGCGTCCTTATCTCAGACAGAGGCATCGCTGGTCCCATCTGTAGCGCTGTACAACGACACTTTGCAGCACACACTGACTAGCAGGCTCTGCAGTAGCTGAACGTGATTTTATCCTACAAACACATCCGTGTGTAACCCACTGCGGTCACGTTCACCCAGTCCTCGCGCTAAAAAGCCACAACTGGACAAAACAAACCAAACTCATTGTAAGGTTCTGGCCAGAGGAAAGCTTTACGCGTCATTTTAACCATGACCAGAGCTCACTGCAATCTGCCAACTATTAAAAAAAAAAAAAAAAAAAAAGGTTGTTGGCGTATAAAATGCATTTTTACAAACCAGTAACTTACACAGTAAAATTTCCTTTTTCCACTTTGGAAGAACAGGCAATATTCCTGTCGAGCCCAATTGCACGAGGCAGATTTCTAAAGTTTAATTATGAACCTGATAGATCTTAACTGCAGTAACTGTGAGCGCTACTCTGAGGCCAGAACGTAATACCACAAACTTGAAGAAGAAAACAAAACTGGTGAGTTCATTAACTTTAAAATCAGCTTTAATTTTACCCTCAAGTGCAGTTGTCAATGTAAACAAAGCATGTTAACGATTCCAGTGAGTTGCAGGACCCAGCTGACATGCTCATCTGAACTAAGGACACCGCACTGCCCATCGCCGGCCAGCAGACCAGTCCATGGCTCTCACTGGCTCCTTTTGTCAGCCCAGTTAAGAGTCAGGCTCACAGCCCCGACCTGAGGGCGATCAGCTGCCCAGGAGCTTTCCTTACACATGGGAATGTCACAGGCTGTTATAGGAATAAACCACAGTGTGTTTCCACTCGGGCTCAACACCATTTGCATTGATGCAGGCTAGTAACAGGTTTGCTGCTGCTCGCCATCGATCGATACGCAGCAGCAAGGCAAATCTCAGTTTAAACAAGTTTGTTTTCAGAAAGTGTTCAAATGTGCAACATTTATTTGCATATGTGAGCAAGTGTGCATGAGAACACACAACTGGAAGCAGTGCAATACATTTTCTTGTCACGATTTAAAACTAGCTACTACATCATGACAGATCTGGAGTCATTCTCAACTGGAGAAGAAAAAAGCCGCCCGTTGCAACGTCACAGATTTGGAGTAGATGTCCCTACCTGAGCCACGGTCTGTTTCTCCCAGAACAGACGAGGGATCCCCTGCAGGGCACTCGCTGTAGCCATCATCTCCTGTGAAACGCGTCCGAACGCCTGCAGTGCTTCATTAAGCACAGTCAAGTCTGACACGGATAAAGTAACTCCTGACGGTGAGGATCCGCTCTATTTACAGCACACTTTGGTTTTTTAGAAAAATAGACATTCCTTTGAGGAGGACTTTTTTTTTTTTTTTTTAAACTTCAATTGTACTTGTGGATTGTCTGGAATTATGCAACTGAGTAACAGGCAGGGAAAGGATTTTCTCTGTAGTAGCAGAGGTGGAGATGCTGAAAGCTTCCTTCTGAAAAGGTACAAGCCTGCCCTGCTCACCTACGTGCTTTCACCCGGTGTTCTGATGCGATAGCTCTACGTGCACCTGCAGACACGGATACCCACATGTATCGCGTACACGTGCCTGTACGCTGTCAGTATTGGCATTTCAGTTTCTTATCTTGATCGTAACTTAATCTTTCTAATCGGATACGTGCCAGCTATGAACAAAAAGACTGAAGCCCATCAGCAAAGGCGCTCTGTCACAGGTCGCATCTGATCTGTGCTCCCTCTGCTAGACGACACGCATGCCCAGTGGCGATCTGACAAAAATAAACTTGTTTCATCTCCAAAATTGAAGAGTCAGACAATTACTAAAATAAACAATTTCTTATTCAGATGGTCACAAAGTGACAAGGTATGCTGAAAACGCTAAGTCCACAGACAGAGGAAATCTCACTCAGAGCAGGCACAGTCCAGTTCAGTTGAGCAGACGCTCGGATTAAGGCCGTGTCCCTCACAGAAGAACACATCGGAAAAAGCTGCTTTTCTTTTGCTGGTCTGGTGTGATTTTGACTCCCTGGTTACTGCCTTGCGGGCTGTTGCCTTCCTGAAGACGCAAAGAATATGAAGTTACTCATTTACACGTAGCAGCTTCCAGCAGCCCCACTTCACCCATTTGTTTTGTTGAATCAAGCCTGTCCTACGCAAAACCGCGACTAAAATCAAGGGGAGTCTTCACTCATTTATCTGAGCTTCTACAAGGAGTCAGAGAACGGCATCTGCTACTTCCAGCTTCGACTAACACGCCCTGTGCCTCTTCGCCTTCTTCCGATACACTCAAAGACAGCTCAGATTAAAAAAAATTACTACAGGACACGTCTGGCTCTTGCTGAAACACTCAGGAACCGTCAGCAAGACCCAAAATACCACAGCTCGGTCAGCAGCGCCAGGCCACACGCAGGTGGGACGCTCAGTAAA